TTTCACTACTTTTCCCCTGTTGATGGTAAGGGTGTCACATTTGTCCAGTCCAAACTCCACTGCAATATCTTGTATATTTGGACAGTGTTGAGCAGTGATTCCATTTCAGATGGTGTTTTTCCATACAGCTTCAGATCGTCCATGTAAAGGAGGTGGGATAACCTGGCAGATGTTTTTGATGTTTGAGAACTATGGCCTGCCTTGTTCAGTATTGTTGACAGAAGAATTAATGCAATGACAAACAGTAGTGGTGATACTAAGTCTCCTTGAAAGATTCCTCTCTTGATGTTAACCTCTCCCAGTTTATCACCATCAACCAGCAACTTTGTCTTCCATTGTGCCATTAATCTTTGCACAAAGTTTCTGATGTTTCTACTGACTCCTGTTGTTTGATGTTGTTTGATGGCATTAAAGGTATTGTTGCAGGATATAAGCTGTTCAAGTAAAGTTGCCTTTTGCAACTGACTGATGGTGATTTTGTCAATGCCAGTGGTGTTCAAGTGGTGCTCCAGATATTTTGGGATTGTATGTAAGGTGCCTATAACTATTGGTATTATCTTTGCTTTCTTTTGCCATAGTCGTTCTACCCCAGTTCCCTGTGGCCCCCGTGTACTCCCCATGTTCCTTGCCTGGGACTCCCACCTCTTCCTGCCTAACAACCCACACAGTCCTGGGGTTATGACAGCAACTCATATTGCTGGGATTGCCATCAGTAAGTGATCCAGTCATGTGACATTGTGCTTTATGACCCCATCGCTTAGTGACAGCAAGCATGGTCCCAATTGCTGATGTAACCCAAGGATGCGAAAACCCAGTCACAGTTTGATTATCAAGGCAGAGGTACAAATCACATGCTTCACCCAAGCTTTAGGTGCAGCGTAAAAAAGGTTCTCAAAAAAGCTGCTGCTAGATTATATAATTTTAAAGTAGTAGAACTGGGAAAGTGCTATCAAATTATAGGTTGTCATGTAACAGAAAGGAGAAGTTACTAAATATCTGAAAGTTAATCATATTAATTGTATGTAATAAATTGAATTTTCACTTTTTTTTAAAATAGTATTTTATTGG